CTCTTCTGCGCACATGTTTCTTATATTCTGAATTAATCTATGTGTTCGCTAAATATATTGATGGATATCTTCCACATGGAAACCTGACGCTGTACTATCTTCTAATTGTCCTATTAGTCGAGTACTTTGTTAAATAAGGCTGGTTAGTTTTCATTATGAGCGTATTATAGACTTCGAGAATATTAAGCGGGCCATTTTCTTTAGTTTATACGGGTAAGACAGGCGTAGCTGCTTACGATAGCATTTCCTCGCATCTCTATGGTCTAGTGGTCAGCGTTCCTGGCTACAGATCCAGAGGTTCGGGTTCGATTCCCGGCGCTACCAGATTTTTTCGGAGAAGTAGTGGGTCTGGAACGGTGTCCACTCAGCCTCGTGATGATAATTGAGGAGCTATTTGAGGGAAATAGCGCCTGCGGTCTAGAAAACCGAAATTAGCGTGTATAGTTCTAAGGTTTAATTGACATAACGGCAGTTGATGCGGGGTCTGACATTCGGAGAGGTAATAAATCTTTGAAAGAATGCTACTTTGCATGCAGAATGTGACATAAAGAAGTGGCTGCTCGATGCGGTGGACGTAGCTGTTTCACTATGAAGGCAGTAAGGAATGAACCGGTTGAGCTAGGCATGTGAAAGTTTGTGCGAAAGTGGAATATAATCCCACCTACAAATTGTGTATTAAAAATTAGTTACAGCACAGGAATTCGTCTTTCCATTTATGTCTGGCAGTTTTCTGGAAGTAGTTCCTAAGGTCTGCTAGTGGAAGTAATGGCTAGAAGTCTATAGATCGATAAGTGTTATAATTCATGCCTCCTCCTCTATACATGAAACACGGTAAATTATATGATACCTGTATTTATATCATTCTCGCATGGCTGCATTCGGTTGGGATGTTGGAACAGTTTGGATTTCGCTGTTTGTGGTGCATTTAGTATGTAATTCAGCGCAATATGAATTTGAACTTATTCCACTCGTGTTCCTAGCTGGCGTGGAATGACAGATGTGTTCTGGCGGCCCCGTACCATATTATTGTAGATCGTTTGATGTCGGGTCGCCTGGCAGGCTCGCCTTAATCAATACTGATGACAAGCTGGGGAGAGCAAGACTTGCAGGAACTTTGAAAAGAAGATATTTTCTTCTTCCCTCCACACCCCATTCGGACTTCTTGCCCATTATTCGTGCATTCCCAATCTTCCAAGAGCCATTTTTATCTCCGCTACATCATTTTCTGTAGGGTACTTGTTCTAAAATGGGAATGCAGTGATTTCCTGAGGACGTCATACCGGAAATTGTGATTTAGGATCCCGTCTTACCCTGACACTGAGGTAACTAACCGGAATTAGTAATACGGCGCCTTCGGTATGTCATCTGCAAAGCTGACTTCTCCTGAGACACTGTGTTCACTAGTTCGAATCTCTTCGTTCTTTGAGTAAGGTAAAGTGAAAGGTAAAGTTGTCCATGTGCTAAACTAATTAAGCATTACGCCATGAAGGTGTATGGGGGTCTGGATGTATTCTTTCTCTTGCTCCCACTCGTCGCTAGGCCGCTACCTAAACACAGAATAAACGCATACACACACCAAACATCCATGCCTTGTGTGAGATTCGAACCCACATATTAATACAAAATTAGTATTACAGAAGTATCGGGATGAATTGTCTTTCTGGACAAAGCTGGCTCTTGGTTGCAAGAATACGCAGGGTACTCCAGCTGGGTTGATTTACTTTGGAATAGATACCGTCTTTCATCTGTGCTCAGTGTGTGTGGCCACACTGCGAAGGCAACTTCAGAGAAATTAAAAAAACGAACAAATCATAATCAATGTATACTTTCCCTTATCAGTTATAATTATTATTATTATTATTAGACCACCTCTGTGGTCTAGTGGTCAGAGTTCCTGGCTACAGATCCAGAGATCCAGGTTCGATTCCCGGCGCTACCAGATTTTCTGAGAAGTAGTAGGTCTGGAACGGGGTCCACTCAGCCTCGTGAGTATAATTGAGGAGCTATTTCAAGGAAATAGCGGTTCCGGTCTAGAAACCCGAGATTAACGGCCGTTGCGCTGACCACGCAACACCCACTATCCGCTAAAGTTGGCACTCACTTCGCCGACAACCTGCGGTCGCTCAGTCGGTATAGTTCGCTTGCGGACTAAAACCACGGAATTTTTTTTTGTTTGTTTTTGTTCACTTATCCGTAAAATGAAACTTTGCTTCACCACTAAGGAAGACATTATACGGCATGTCCTCTCCATATTCTCCTATGAATCATACGATATCTCGGGCAATGACCCCAGAACTGCGCGGTTCCTCACGTTTCCGCAGTACAGGAATGCTATTTGGAGTGGTAGATGTAATCTGTTGTAGCCTGCTGTGAGTCTGAATAAGGCATACGCACCCGTGAGCCAAGTTTCTTCGCCCATTTGTTAGGCCACTGTATCAATCGGTCAAGCATCTTTCTCCTTTAGTTTGTTAACACTGAAGGTTTCCCGCCACATTTTTTATCATTGACACTTCCACCCGTAGGAAAACTGTCAAAGTCTTGCAACTCTGGTCTTGTTGGGGGCAGGAGAATTGGAATGTCTCGTGAAACGATCCTTCAATGTGTGCATGTGACCGGGATGCTAAAATTATGTTCAGTTTCGAACACACTCTTCGCCGGGGAAAAAGGCACGCTGCGCTTGTAAAGCAAAACACTGCTGGCGCCGGTCCGATTGTTATATCATCAAGAGTTCTTGTCGTGCGGGTAACCTCAGGTGCTAGCTTTTGCTCGCGTGATCATATTAGTTGGTTAGTTTGTTAGGCTTTGTGTGTTCTTTGAGGTCTCGAGCCACAACCAGTGCTGCTCTTCATTGTAAGAAGGTATATATTTCAAATTCGCCCGAAACTATTTACTGACTTCACTTGATTAATTTCAGTACACACGTTAGATTTGGTGGTTTTCACAGTCATCCCAAAACCAGAATGCCTTAGTTGTTGGCACAGCCAGTTCACAGGACTTCACAGTGGTGCAGAGAGCATCCCAAAACCAGAATGCCTTCGTTATTGGCACAGCCAGTTCACAGGACTTCACAGTGGTGCAGAGAGAAATTGTCTGCCTACTGCATGTTGTGTTTGGCGGCTGGGAACAGTTCACTTGCCCCGAGATTCACGTCCGTCACATTGTTGCTGTGGACAAATCTCCCGTCCAGTTAATCCTACCGTTTGTTTGAATAAAGATCAAGAAACCCAAAGTTCTAGAGGAGGGTAATATTCTAATCAGTCTGTAGGTCAGGGAAGGGGAAAGTGAGCCATATAAACATGGAGACATTAGCAGGATCCAGTTGTGGTTTGGTGGCGGTGAAGCGCAGCGCAGGGCTTTGGCTTGGGTAGTCCACTGTCGCAGTCTCTCAGAGATGGCCACTAATTTCGTACGGAAGGTCAGAATGTTACGCAGTATGTAACTCCATCATGAGAGAAATTTATCCGCTCCCTCGGAAGCCTCGGCAGGAATAATAGGCATCCTGTCCGTCACACTATTTGACATTACATGAACAACTCCACCATCGGATGCGACCAAACAAAAAACAAACAAACTCCATGGTTTTAGTCCGCAAGCGAACTATACCGACCGAGCGACAGCCGCTTGTCGCCGAAGTTAGTGCCAACTATAGCGGATAGAAGGTGTCACGTGGTCAGCGCAACGAATCCCCACGGCCGTTAATTTCGGTTGTCTAGACCGGGGCGGCTATTTCCTTGAAGTAGCTCCTCAATTATCATCACGAGGCTGAGTGGACCTCGTTTCAGACCCACTACTTCTCAGAACAAAATCTGGTAGCGCCGGGAATCGAACCCGGACCTCTGGATCTGTAGCCAGGAATTCTGACCACTAGAGTCTAGTGACCAGACCACAGAGGCGGTCCATCGGATGCGACCACATTGGTTTAATTACATAGAAAGAGACCATCATCAGAATATGCTCAGAAATCGAGGAACTGTAAAGCGCTTTCTCATGTATTGAGCAACTTGTGATGATGGCCTCTTTAAGGCCGAAACATGTAAAGGTTTTTATGCGTTTGGATTAAGTTGGTCGCACTCCAGGGTGGTGGTGATGTTGCTTAACTTCAGAAGGGACCATTTAGCGTGAAAGAACTTGCTGATGGGGTGCTGTTGTTATCATTGTTGTTTTAATTAATATTTAGAACAAAATCGAATTGCATGTATAGTCCCACGTCCAGTCGCACGTACCTGTTTTTGTCTTCCCTTCGCCCCTTGTCGATACGTGCCACTCCTGCATTAACGTAGTTTCGTACCGATATCGTTTTCTTATGGCGCAGGTTTCTTTTACTGGTGCGATTATTCATAGAAAATATGTTCATGCAGTCCATGCGTTTTTTTCTCAGAATACTTTCCGTAACTACTCGTATTTTAACGATAGGAGCTTCTCCTCCATGGCTTAAGTTGAACACTGAATGCAAGTGTTGATTTACATTCTGTAAGTTCAGAACCCACTGGCGACATGAAAAACTAAGTACAGTACCGTCACTCACTCATGGAGCTGAGCTCTTCTTGAGAAGCTGCCAATTGTTCAGCTACTCAAGAACTTTCCATCATTTTATGGAACCCGAAGGTTCATTACCGTGTTCACAAGAGCCCTCCAGAGTTCTCTATCCTGAGCCAGATCAATCCAATCCATCCTATCTTATCTTTCTGAGATCCATTTTTATATATTGTCCACCCACCTATGTCTTGGTCTTCCCAGGGGTCTCCTTCATTCCGGCTTTCCCACCAGTGTCCTATATGCATTTCTCCTTTCCCCCATCCGTGGTACATACCCTGCCCACCTAAACTTCCTTGACGTCATCATTCTAATTATACTTGGAGAAGCGTACAGTGTATGAAGCTTCTCATTATGCACTCATTTGGTAAATTTATAGAACCTTCGGTCATATTCCATTCCTTCTTTCGAGTATACCTGTTGGGTTTGTAGACAGCCCGACTGACCCAGTGTTCCATCTGTTTCAGAGGTGACCCGAGAAGTGGCCAGGGTGCAAGCTAGTGGGAAGCCCCTGCCCAAGGAGAGTAAATATGTGGACATCTACCGGGAGAAGCCGATCCGGGTTGCAGTGAAAGTGCTGGTGCCTATTAAGGAGCACCCAAAGGTATGACTGAGCTTGTTGCTGTAGTTTGATTTGTTGCCGTTTGGGGTTGCAGGATAACGCAAAACACTGCATTTTACGGCATTGTTATGCCTGAGAGTTTTTTGTATATAGAAATGCCCTTTTGAATTTCGAGTACGTGCATCCCGTTATGTGACTGCATTGCAAATAAGGCAACCCAGCGCCGAGATCCGCCTGACATTCCGTAATAACTCGCGGACCACGGTGTCTTACCTTGTACCCCTTCCATTTGGCATTGCGCGTGACCTTTACAGAGTTAACCTCATCAGCCAGGCTGCTGCATTCGCCATTTGTCATTAACCACTTTACCGCTGCGCATGAGTACATATCACACCGAATGACGTCGTGTTAATGTAAAGTGTAGTGCAAACTCGAGTTTGCTCAAAGCAGAAAGAGACGTAACTCAGAATTTGTTCACTGTTAAATATGGCCCCTGTGTGTAACTGACATTTCTCTTAGAGGCGTACATTCAGTTTCGGTTTTGGTTTGACCTCTGTGGTGATTGTGTATTGATTCGACTAGTTGTTTCGGATGCAGCGAAAATGTTATACTTTCTCGACTTAGTCTGAGGACTGTATAAGGAGATGCTTTCAGTTAGGAAATCGACTTTGATGATGTTGGAAGAGCGTAAAGAGGTCACAGATTTCCCCGTTCTTTGTTATTCTTGCAACATTTTTAGGGAAGATAAACTACATTCTCTGGGGCCCACCCATCCTCCTGTCCAGTGAGTACCAAAGGTTTCCCCGCTGGTAAAATGACTCATCTCCATCTAGCGTCGAAGTCAAGAAGGATGGAGCTATGATTCCACACCCCCATACTTCTTCATGACGTGGCACTTAATTAATTAGGCACAAGGGCAGCTTAACCACATTCATTTTCTGAGAGAGTAGAAGGATGCAAAAGTAAGAATTTCGTCTAGATCTGTTACGAAAACGGGACTATTTTATTGGAAGAGGGCATTGATAATAGATTCTCGGCAGATTATAATAATGATCTGTGTAGTGTTTCTTTAGAGTCCGTCGCGTTGGGTCAGATAGTAGACATACTGTTGTAACGCCCGCTTGTCCTTTGATGAAGCACCGAAATACGGAATGACATGTGAGTGTCCGATCTGAGGTTCTCACGGTGGTGATTATGAAGAGTTCTACCTTCTGGGATATAGCGCTGTGTAGCATCAAAGGTTCTCACGGCGGTGGTTATGAAGAGTTCTACCTTCTTGGATATAGCGCTGTGTAGGATCTGAGGTTCGCACGGTGGTGGTTATGAAGAGTTCTACCTTCTGGGATATAGCGCTGTGTAGGATCTGAGGTTCTCACGGTGGTGGTTATGAAGAGTTCTACCTTCTGGGATATAGCGCTGTGTAGGATCTGAGGTTCTCACGGTGGTGGTTATGAAGAGTTCTACCTTCTGGGATATAGCGCTGTGTAGGATCTGAGGTTCTCACGGTGGTGGTTATGAAGAGTTCTACCTTCTGGGATATAGCGCTGTGTAGGATCTGAGGTTCTCACGGTGGTGGTTATGAAGAGTTCTACCTTCTGGGATATAGCGCTGTGTAGGATCTGAGGTTCTCACGGTGGTGGTTATGAAGAGTTCTACCTTCTGGGATATAGCGCTGTGTAGGATCTGAGGTTCTCACGGTGGTGGTTATGAAGAGTTCTACCTTCTGGGATATAGCGCTGTGTAGGATCTGAGGTTCTCACGGTGGTGGTTATGAAGAGTTCTACCTTCTGGGATATAGCGCTGTGTAGGATCTGAGGTTCTCACGGTGGTGGTTATGAAGAGTTCTACCTTCTGGGATATAGCGCTGTGTAGGATCTGAGGTTCTCACGGTGGTGGTTATGAAGAGTTCTACCTCCTGGGATATAGCGCTGTGTAGGATCTGAGGTTCTCACGGTGGTGGTTATGAAGAGTTCTACCTCCTGGGATATAGTGCTGTATAGGATCTTTAGTTCTCACGGCGGTGGTTATGAAGAGTTCTGTCTTTGAGATATAACGCCTTGTAGTCCGTTGGAAGTCAACCGGCATTTCGGAGGAACATATCTCCAGGATAGAAGAATAAGCCGAACGGGAAACCAGCGTCTAGTCTATTTATCCATCCATGGCTCTACAGCCCTTTGTTGAACCGTGCCCACTTTTTCGCTTTCTTGATATTTTATCACAGTCGATAAGGGCTTCATGGAGGGGGGATCAGCCCGTCCCAAGGCCGGTACCTACATACAGGACAGCACAAACACAGAATGAACGCTCACAAACATCCATGCTTCATCCATGATATGTATGCAGTGTCCGTCTTTTAGTGCACTCAATTTCACTTGTTATTCACAACATGTTTCGGCACTGTAGTGCGATCATCAGGTGCTCCATTTACGTTAATCTATTTCATTGCTTGCCATTATGTCATTGTAAAATTTGAAAGTATTTAAAAATGTTCGTCAATTATAATAAATATTTATATACTAAAAACTTGTTAAGATTATTTATCTTATCTGTCCCAATTCTAACACCGCGCATAGTTCCACCACTATGGGAGTCGTTCCTCTTACTCTCAGTGTATATCGTGTCTCGTGTTGTGTGTTCCCTGTTTGGTTGCGGGTGTTTTAAATTTTACAATGACATAATGGCAAGCAATGAAATAGATTAACGTAAATGGAACACCTGATGATGGCGCTATAGTGCCGAAACATGTTGTGAAATAACAAGTGAAATTGAGTACACTAAAAGACGGACACTGCATACATATCATGGACGAAAATCAGCGCAACAGGACGCTAAAATACAACATTATCCATGCTTCAAGTGGGATTCGAACCCACGATCCCAGCGTTTGAGCGGGGGAAGACAGTTCCTGCTTTAGACCCCCCCCCGGCAGTGTCTAGTCTAGTCTATAAATTAAATCCAACTTGACAGATTTTAAAGGAGTTACGCAGACCGTTACTGTAATCTGCCGAGAGTCTGTTAATCTCAACCTCATTCTAATATATTACCAGTTTTTGTAACAGATCTAGATGAAATTCCTGCTTCTGCGTCGTTCTACTCTCCGCAAAAGTGAATGTTATTAAAAGTAAAGTTGTCCTTTTGCTTAATTAATTAAGCATCACGCCATGAAGGCTTATAGGGAGTGGAGGTATATCTTACCACTTGCTTTCACGCTGGTATCTTGCTGGGCTTGTTCTTTCACCCTGAGGCGATATATTCCTCCGAAACGTCGCTTGACTAACAACGGACTACACGGCATTATATCCAGGAGATAGTACTCTTCATGTCAAGTTCAGGTTTGAAAAGAGACAGCAGATATGAGGAGATGGCGACCAGTCCACATGCAGATCCATGTGACAAGTTCAGATTGCGAAGTATGTACCCATAACAAGGCTCTCCGCGCACCATACATGGCTGCACATTTTTGTAGCCCCGGAATGTGTACTGCATCCAGGGTATTCAAAACATTCCAGATGTCGAAGCGGGGCTGGTGGACTCATGTCCACGCATTGCCCGGGGAATACCGACACTCCGCGAACATTGAACGCCTCCTTCCCTTGCGTTCATTCTCGTGTTTCTGCCCTTTTAAGGTGCCTCAGTGGTTTTCATTACTTACCTAAATACCCGATATGCTGTTAGTTACACGTGTCGTCTCGGAAATGGTCAGTGCTGTGATTGCCCGGTCTGGCCGATACCGGCGTTATATTTCAGTTTCCATCATACTTTATCAGTTCATTTTTAATTTAAAGACATTGGTCTAGTGGTCAGAGTTCCTGGCTACAGATCCAGAGGTCCCGGGTTCGACTCCCGGCGCTACCAGATTTTCTGAGAAGTAGTAGGTCTGGAACGGGGTCCATTCAGCCTCGTGAGGATAATTGAGGAGCTATAGCGGCCCGGTCTAGAAAACCGAAATTAACGGCCGTGGGGATTCGTCGCGCTGACCACGCGACACCCTCTATCCGCTAAAGTTGGCACTAACTTTGCCGACAAGCGGCGGTCGCTCGGTCGGTTTAGTTCGTTTGAGGACTAAAACCACGGAGTTTGTTTTATTTTTGTTCACTTAGCCGTAAGATGAAACTTTGAAGGAAGACATTATACGGCATGTCCTCTCCATATTGCCCCATGAATCATACGAAACCTCGGGCAATAACCTCAGAACTGCGCGGTTCCTCACGTTTCCGCAGTACAGGAATGCTATTTGGAGTGGTAGATGTAATCTGTTGTAGCCTGCTGTGAGTCTGAATAAGGCATACGCACCCGTGAGCCAAGTTTCTTCACCCATTTGTTAAGCCATTGTATCAATCGGTCAAGCATCTTTCGCCTTTCGTTTGTTAACACTGAAGGTTTCCCGCTACATTTTTTATCATTGACACTTCCACCCGTAGGAAAACTGTCAAAGTCTTGCAACTCTGGCCTTGTTTGGGGACAGGAGAATTGGAATGCCTCGTGAAACGGTCCTTCAACGTGTGCATGTGACCGGGATGCTAAAATAATGTTCAGTTTCGAACACACTCTGCGCCTGGGAAAAAAACCGCGCTGCGCTTGTAAAGCAAAACACTGCTGGCGCCGGTGCGATTGGTATATCATCAAGAGTTCTTGTCATGCGGGTAACCTCAGGTGCTAGCTGTTGCTCGCGTGATCATGTTCTATCACCTTGTCACGGATCATTAAACGATACCTGCCAGGTTTCTTGAATTATGAGTCAGCCTGTATCTGTGCTCGTATTTTTTCCCCCATTTGTGACTTTCTGTGAAAGTTTTTTCATGCTCTGCCATTTCATTTTTACGTCTCTATGACCGTGCCTGTTGATCAGGTTTATTTTTTAATCTAGAAGAGTGTAATTTTCTGTTTCCTTTTTGCAGTAGAACTACTTCGTAGCTGATTTTAACTTCTGGGGTAGTTTTCTTCTTTTTCTGTGTCCTTTTTGCTGAGCTCTTCAAATTCGACGTTACTAAGAAGTGGCCAGAGTGTACATCTCTGCTCTCGTATTCTCTTGTAGCGCTTAC